TAAAAGACGCCTGCTTCTTGGGAAAAAAGCAATGACAAAACTAGACAGCATCTTAAAAAGCAGAGACATCACCTTGCCAACAAAGGTCTGTATAGTAAAAGCTCTGGTTTTCCCAGTAGTGATGTATGGAAATGAGAGCTGGACCATCAAGAAGGCTGATCGCCAAAGAATGGATGCTTTTGAATTCTGGTGCTGGAGGAGACTCTTGAGAGTCCCATGGACTGCAAGAAGATCCAACCTCTCCATTCTGAAGGAAATCAACCCTGAATGCTCACTGGAAGGACAGATCCTGAAGCTGAGGCTCCAGTACTTTGGCCACCTCATGAGAAGAGAAGACTCCCTGGAAAAGACCCTGATGTTGGGAAAGATGGAGGGCCCAAGGAGAAGGGGACGACAGAGGACAAGATGGTGGGACAGTGTTCTCGAAGCTGCAAACATGAGTCTGACCAAACTGCGGGAGGCAGTGGAAGACAGGAGTGCCTGGTGTGCTCTGGTCCAGGGGGTCACGAAGAATCGGACATGACTAAACGACTAAACAACAACAATAAGGGTGCTGAGAATTGTAGCTCTGTCAGGGGTAAACTATAGTTCCCACGATCATTGCTGTGTGCATTAAATGTGTGTACGCAGCTTATTCCCTATTCTAAGTTTCTTCCTCAATCCAAGAAATATTACAGAAACCAAAGATCTGGCCCCTCGCTGACACACACAACCTGTCCTTACACCCCCCCTTCTCATTTTATCCCAAGCCCCTTGACTCCCCAACTCCGCTTCAAGCGATCTCCTTGCCTCTGTGCCATATTTGATATTCATCCCTTCATAAAAACTGTTTCTGGCCACAGAAATAATAATTTCCCGCCTGTCGACTCTCTGCAGTTCCATCCGTTTTTCTGCATTCCGCGACTGCCCTTTGGAGGCAGCTGAACATTCTGTGTCATCAGAGAAGGTCAACCAATAGGGAAAGTGTTTGCAGACAATGGCATTAAAAAAACCCAAAAAGCAGTTGCACACACATGACACATAACGAAGAGCAACTCTGTTCTTGGAACTTGTATCCTGGAAGTCATCAGAAAGTCCTGTCCACCCTCAAGGCAATGATAATGTCACTGCCAATGACATTTTGGAACAATACAACGAACAAAACAAATTTAAATACGTCCTGCACAGGTCAGGAATTTTAATTAGGTGAGGCCGAGAAGGAACTTGAGCGGTGTGTACACAAAACACACCCCTCCCACCCTGAGATTCCTGGGAAGTGCAGTTCACCCTTCACTGATCTGCAAGTTCACAGCGCCCATAAAAAACTACAGTTCCCAACATTATGGGAAGGGTGCTTTAAATATATGGTCCATGCACAGTCACAGAATAAAAAAGGAAACAGAAAGTTTTGGTCAAAAGAAACAGAGGCTGCCATAGTTTGGGGTGCAGAGACACCACGTGACAGGCAGAAATTCTGCAGGTGCAGCTTATGTCCTTCACTGCAGCTCTGTGCTAAGGGGGAAAGCTTTACTTGGGAGTTTTCTGCTGGAAAGGCAGCTACTGAATATTATCCTGAAAGAGCATTAAAGATAGCAAGCTCCCCTCTCAATATGTATTACATCTGATCAGACAGAGAGATAGAGAAATATTGTTATATTCATGTTATTGTAAGTTGCCTTGTGCTTTTAAAAACTGGAAATGGGGAGAGAATTTCTTTTTTTTTTAAAGGAGGACATTGAAGAAGGAGAAAACCTGAATTTGCTGGATCCGTTCCCTTCGGTATCTGTTTTATAGTTTTGCTTTTCATCTTTTAATTTTCATCTGTTATCTGTTGCTCTGATTGTTCTCTCTCTCTTATATGCATTATATTCATTTTCGTTAAAAATGAAACAGAAAAGCTATACCAAAAAAAAAAAAATTCCTTTCAGCGTTTCCGCCTGCAAGTCTTCACACCAAATAGTCTGTAGCCTGCAAATTTTTGTCGGATATGCATGACATATTTCCTATCTAAATTTGACTGCCTCCTCCAGGTGATTTGAATATACTTCTCCATCAACATGCAAATGTATTTTCTTTTAAAAAAAACCACAATTGGTTTCTTTCGAATGAATCAGACCCCGAGTTCAAATTACGCCCCTTCTGCTGTGCCAGCTTCTTGAGATCTGGCTGAGTTACCAGAATTCAAGATGAGCCCATCCATATGCCTTTTCCTTGAGAGGGCGTCTCTGCTTATCCCATCGTCATGTCAGCAGACGTGTCCTTAAATACCTTGAAAACATATTGAGGTTTTGTCCAAATGCTAATTTGTTTAATTGATTAAATGAGTCAAATTACAGAGGATTAATCACACGTACAGACTTCTTTTTTTAATCAAGCTGCTGAAAATATGTCAAGCACACGTCAGTGAATATTCAACACCAAAGCAGGTGTATCACTCTCTGACACCCACACACACCCAGAACTAGGGTTTATTGGGGTGCAGGGCCACCCCATCCAATAGCCTGGGTGCCCCTCAATAACAGATAACCATGCAATCGCTACCACCACATCTTAAGTCCTGAAATAACTCATTTCCAATATTTATTACATTGATATCCCAAGGTTCTTCTCACAACAATTCTGTGAGGTAGGCTAGGCTGAGAGGCCATGATTGGGCCATTGAAGCTCCACGGCCGGCTGGAGATTTGAACCCAAGTCTCTCCCTAGTCCGGCACTCTAACCACTGCACAGCCGCTGCCTCTGAAGAATGGCAGATGAAGATGATGGACTAGATGGAACATGCCAAACTGACCGGGAGACTCCGAGACCAGAGAGAAGAGACAGCGGAAGAAGATTGGAAGAAGTTTAAGGAATATTTGAAAAAATATGTTAATATTTACATCGTTGAATAGCTTTGGAAGTGGATATAGGCTGTAGGGTTAGAAGTAGAAGATAGGGTATTTTAAAACAGCATTATTTGTAAGTATAAAATGTGAAGTTATTTTAAGTGTGATAAAAAAAAAGATGGTTAGAAATTATGATATATGTAAACTGCTAAAGATGAAGTAAAATGAAAATCAGATAGGTGGGACTTGGGGAAGCCCACTTAACAGTGTTTAGAAAAAAAGGATATGACAAGAATTTGTTTGTATTGTTTGTCTTTTCTGTTTGTGTTTTTTATTTGTGTTATAAAATGAATATACTTTTTTGAGAAAATAAAAAAGAGCAGGCATCTGTTTTCTGCCGATCGCAGCGTGGCTCGCTTTCTCGAGTCATCGGGAGCTTTTAAAGCAGTCGGACAATGCACAGCTCCTGGCCCAACACTCTGACCAGCACATCTCACGGACTCAAGACTCATCGGCACATTAAACGGAGCACAGGCTGCTTCCAGCCGTGGGCCAGCGCTTGTGGGAAAGGCTGCGTACACTTGTGGGAAAGAGTGAACACGTTTGTCGTTGAACCTTAGAGGTGAGCAGCTACATGGCTGCACAGCTTGTGTATAGTGGTACTTCGGGTTAAGTACTTAATTCGTTCCGGAGGTCCGTTCTTAACCTGAAACTCTTCTTAACCTGAAGCACCACTTTAGCTAATGGGGCCTCCTGCTGCTGCCACGCCACCGGAGCACGATTTCTGTTCTTATCCTGAAGCAAAGTTCTTAACCTGAAGCACTATTTCTGGGTTAGCGGAGTCTGTAACCTGAAGCGTATGTAACCTGAAGCGTATGTAACCCGAGGTACCACTGTACTTGTCAAATGCAGCATGTAAACACTCGTTGCAGGAGAAGGACTTAGTGGGTGAGCTTCTACCTTGGGTGCAGAAGGTTCTGTGTTCAATTCCTGGCATCTCCTGGTAGGGTTGGGAAACAGCTTCCCATCTTCTTCCTATCTTTAAACCAGCCCCATATTTCGAACGCTGAGGACTAGAATCTTAATTTCTTTTTAAGGAAAAGACTGCAGCTTAAATGGGCAGGGCAGCTGCCCTGCTTGCAGAAGATTTTCGGTTCAATCCCAAACATCTCCAGGTACAGCTGGGAATGTTCCCTGCCGGAAACCCCTGGAGAGAGCCTGCCAGTCAGTGTAGACAATATTGAGGTAAATGAACCCCTGGGCTAACTTGGTTGGAGCCAGCAGCTCCCAATGTTCCTATGAGAGCCTCCTCTGAGAAAGATATAAAATGAAGAGACATATTTTTCTCTCCAACCAACGCACTCACCACACCAACAGCCATAGACCCCCTTTCTGAGGCAGGAACACCTCCAGGGACTCCCCGCAGGTAGACCACTCCTGGCTGGGGAGGCTCTATCTGGCCTCATCCTCACAGACGTCGGAGAAACATTTATCCCACTTCAGGGATGACGTCTAGACGGGAGCGGATTTTGCCCAAGGGGTCAGCTGTGAGCTTCCTTGGCCCCAAACCACGACAGATCTCCATATATATATTGCACACAATATATTTAAAGCACTGCCCCCCACAAAAAGAACCCTGTATACTGTAATTTACCCCACAGAACTACAATTCCCAGCATGCCCAACAACCTACTTTTAACACCAATAACCTGAGAACTATAGTTTACTTCTCCCAGAGCGACAATTCCCAGCACCCATAACAAACAACTTTTATCACCCCCCCAAGAATCCTGAAAAATGCAGTTCACCCCTCGCAGCGCTACATTTCCCAGCACCCCTGACAAACTACATTTAAAGCAGCCACGCACCCCAATAACCTGAGAACTGCCATTTACCTCTTTTTAAAAAGCTACAATTCCCAGCACCCCAACAAACTACATTTAAAACACACCTACCCCTCCAGAATCCTGGAAACTTTAGTTCGCCCCTCACAGAGCTACAATTCCTAGCACCCTCGACAAACGACAATTCCCATATTTTTTGTGGGGATCGAATGCGCTTCCGAAACGTCGCCAATCCAGTTCATCCATCCCCTTTCTGCCGCTCCTGGGCCAAATTTGGCACAAGGTCCGCCAGTTGCCGACCCAGGCCACCAAGCAGGCTCTGCGGGAAGCCCCTTCCCCTTCAGAGACTCACCTGGGGGCAGAAGACCCTCCTCTCCTCCTCTGGGCCCCCGAGATGAGGGTGCAGCCAGCTTCTCCCTATCCCTCCGGCCGGCATGGAGAGCCTCCTGGGACGGTTCCAGGAGGCCATGGCGCCTTTTCGGCTCGGAGCATCTGTCGACAACAACCTCTCCTGCTCCTGCTCCTTCTCCTCCTCACCTGCCTGAGCTGAGGAGCCGGTCTGACCTCCAGCTCGGCTGAGAGAGGCGTTCCATCTTTCCCTCGGGCTGCTCCTCCTCCTCCTAATTGTCACATTCCCTCGAAATTACATCATGGAGGCCCAACGATGGAAGGAAGTCTTCAAACTCATCAGGGAGGCTGCATGCGCAGCGACAGAATTAAAGCACATTCTCCCGTGGGAATGTCTTGTTGTTGTTTTAATAGATTATTCATTTTTCTTTTTCATTCATTACTTACATCTCAAATTCTGAACATTTACTATATATTCCTCCCTCCTTCCCCTTCCCCCAACTTCCGCTTCTGGTTTCTCCTTTCACTCGCTTTGCTATCTCTCAACGGAAAAAGATAATAAATAATAATAATAATAATAATAATAATAATAATAATAATAATTTATTTCTACCCTGCCCATCTGGTTAGGTTTCCCCAGCCACTCTGGGCAGCTTCCAACAAAATATTAAAATACAGTAATGCATCAAACATTAAAAGCTTCCCTAAACAGGGCTGCCTTCAGGTGTCTTCTGAAAGTGTGGTAGTTGTTGTTCTCTTTGACATCTGGTGGGCGGGTGTTCATAGAGCGGGCGCCACCACCGAGAAGGCCCTCTGCCTGGTTCCCTGTAACTTTGCTTCTCACAGGGAGGGAACTGCCAGAAGGCCCTTGGAGCTGGACCTCAGTGACCGGGCAGAACGATGGGGGTGGAGACGCTCCTTCAGGTATACTAGACATAACATCAAACCTAAAAACATAGACATAAAAGTAAATACACCATCCTATTTCACCATCTTCTAAACATTTTCTGATGCTGATAATGTGGATGTTTATTTAAATCCTGCCATCAAGTCTATTGACTTTCTTTGTTTCTGCAAACATGATATGAAAGGTTCCCAATCTTTTTCAAAGTCTCTGTTGTCTTTTTCTCTTAGTCTATCTGTCATTTTTTGCCAGTTCTGCATAGTTCATCAACTTCTATTGCCGTTGTTCTTTAGTTGGTATTTCTCCAGTCTTCCAGTTTTGTGCAATCAATGTGTTGTTGTTTTTTAAGGGTGCTGGGAACTGTAGATCTGCCCAGGGGAAAACTACGGTTCCCAGGATTAAGAACATAAGGAAAGCCTGCCGAATCGGGCCAAAGGGGGCCCAACCAGTTCAGCATCTGGTTCTCACCATGGCCAACCTGAGGCCTGTGGGAAACCAGCAAGCAGGATTCGAAATCTTTCTCCTCCTGTGGTTTCAGCGACTGGTATTCAGAAGTGTTATGTACTGAAGTTCTCACCCTGGGCCAGCAGGGGGATACTGTAGATAGTTATGCAAATGAAGGATCGAAAGTGACGTTCAGTGATTGGATAGTTTTAGAAAGTTGCTACAGTAACGTTGTAGTGGAGCTCTGTATAAGCAGGCTGACTGAGCCCTTCAGTTCAGTTCTGTTCTGGCCTGTGAATAAACAAGAGCTGTTTGAAGAATCACTGTGTGGTCTGACATGCTCACCCACAACTTAACAAGAAGCACTGCTGCCTCTGGCTGTGGAGGTTCTGGTAACCTCCATTAATTAATACATCCAATCTTTTAAAGGTAAAGGGACCCCTGACCATTAGGTCCTGTCGTGGCCGACTCTGGGGTTGTGGTGCTCACCTCGCTTTACTGGCCAAGGGAGCCGGGGTACAGCTTCTGGGTCATGTGGCCAGCATGACTAAGCCGCTTCTGGCGAACCAGAGCAGCGCACGGAAACGCCGTTTACCTTCCCGCCAGAGTGGTACCTATTTATCTACTTGCACTTGCTTTCGAACTGCTAGGTTGGGAGGAGAGCAGGGACCAAGTAACGGGAGCTCGCCCCGTCGTGGGGATTCAAACCGCCGACCTTCTGATCGGCAAGTCCTAGGCTCTGTGGTTTAACCCACAGTGCCACCCGCGTCCCTAGATATATAATAAATGTTCATAAGTGTACCAACCAAGCAAGTACATAGATCAGCAGAGGAAGACCGACCTGAAACCATTTTTGATTCCCAAACTGACCAAATGTTTACTCTGCAAGGAGGGAGGGGGGTCAGGGAGCCTTCCCACTGTCTCAGGAATTGAGTAATCAGCATTTTAATGGGTGACAGACTATCAGGAAAGGCAATCAGGAAAGGCAGATAACCTGGCAGACAGGAAAAATGCGTTCAGATTTCTGCTGTAGACCGCCTTTTCTGTGATGTAGGTATGTGGGGGGTGGTCTTGGGTTACACCCCTTCTTTGATGTATGTATGATGTATGGAGGGGTGGTCTTGAGCTCCAGGGCAGGGAATTTAAAATGTCTAGACGTTGTTCGAGGTCCTCCTCCTTTCCTGCGTGTGAGGGGAGCAGCACCCTGTTGCAACAGATCAATAAAGATCAGGCTTACTAGCTGCTTTGCTTCTCAATATTCTCTGGTTGGCCTCTATTCTTTTCTCCTACCAATAGGGAACCCACATAAGGACTCTATATAGGCTCTTGGATACCCCATAAGGGAAAAAGGGCAGCTTTTGTTTACAACATTCCTTCCTTGGATGTTTTTAAGCAAAGGTTGGATGGCCGTCTGTCATGGATGCTTTTGCTGAGATTTCTGCATTGCTGGGGGTTGGAATAGATGACCTGTGATTTTATCCTCATGCAAGACAGCTTGCTCTTAAAAATACAGAAGATCAGCCACCGGAAGAAGCAGAAGGGCGGGCAGGAAAGGTGTGCACAACTCCCTGGAACCTTCTACCTGGAAAGGTAGGCAATGATCTCTGATTGGCAGCTCCTCCTAAGGAAACACAGCGAAACGTGAGCGAAGGGCACCTGCAAAAGTTGCACAGTGGAATTGGAAGTGAACTTTGTCCTGACCAGCTGGGCAAACATGAGCAGCGCCCAGTGCAGCCCACAGTTTGCCACTTCCCCCAGCAGCTGATAACTGGGGCCGGTTTGGCAGATTTTAGATATTTGAGATGTAGCAAAGCCGCTTTCCTTCTCCTGAGGGCAAGGAGCTTCTGGGGTGCAAAGGATCTGGGAAATTGGTAGATTGCCAGCAGGCTGCCGAGTCTTTCTCAGTAGACCAGAAAGCCTTTCTTGACTCGGCTCTAACTGTAGGCAAGCTCTAAGCCTCGGTGTTCCACAGATGTAAAATGGGCCTGCCTGCTGCTGCTGCTGCCGCTGCTGCTGCACCACGTTGCTTTTTCCTCCTCCCTCCCAATCGCTTTTCCTTTTGTGCCGTGTCTGTCTTATTCCTTCATGCTTCCAAGCTGACCTGGAAAGCTTTTCCAGCAGTGAACAGCGGGTTAAAAAATGGTTTGAATGGATGAATAGAAATATTCATTCTGGCCTAGTGTGAATCTCTCTCTCTCTCTCTCTCTCCCCCCCCTCCCTCCCCCCTCTCTCTTTCTCTCTCTGTTTTTCACCTAGAAATATGAGTGGTTGTGAATGAGAACCTAAAGCATGGGTAGGCCTGGGGGCCGGATCCGCCTCAATCGCCTTGTAAATCCAGCCCACAGACGGTCTGGGAATCAGCGTGTTTTCACGTCTGTAAAATGTGTCCTTTTATTTAAAATGCATCTCTGGGTTATTTGTGGGGCATAGGAATTCGTTCATTATTTCTTTCCAAAATATAGTCCGGCCCCCCACAAGGTCTGAGGGACAGTGGACTGGCCCCCGGCTGAAAAAGTTTGCTGACCCCTGATCTAAAGCTACCTGGAACTGTTGCACAGATTAGGGAAGATCAGAGGAAACCTCGCTGGCTCCTTCATCCTACGGAGGTTGCCCTTTCTCTATACCCAACACGGTCATGTTTTCCGTCTCGCCGCAGGTATGATGTCACACCTGAGCAGGAGGGAGGCGAGTTCTGCAAACCCAGGCGTCCAATTACAGAGCGATTCCTTTGCCGTCTCAGAGAGGTTCCATCACCGCAGATGGCTGAGCGGATCATTTTTGCCCTGTGAATCACCTGGCAGACACGCAACATCTGGCCAAAGGTGGTGTTTACAGGATCACAACAAGGAGGCCGGAAGACTCGAGGCACAAAGCACATCTGCTTTCTCTCTCTTTCCATATCCTGCTTCTGTCTTCTTGCTCTGCCTTGCTGTTGTAAACAAAATCTGCCCTTTCTCCCTTATGGGGTATCCAAGAGCCCGTATAGAGTCCTTACGTGGGTTCCCTATTGGTAGGAGAAAAGAACAGAGGCCAAGCAGAGAATATTGAGAAGCAAAGCAGCTAGTAAGCCTGATCTTTATTGATCTGTTGCAACTGGGTGCTCCCCTCACACACAGGAAAGGAGGAGGACCCAGAACCAAGGTGTGCCTGCCCTTATATAGACATTTTAAATTCCCTGCCCTGGAGCTCAAGACCACCCCTCCATACATCATACATACATCACAGAAGGGGTGTAACCCAAAACCACTCCCCACAAACATCATACCTACATCACAGAAAAGGTGGTCTACAACAGAAATTTGAGTGTGTTGCTGTTTTTCCTGTCTGCCAGGTTATCTGATAATGCCTTATCTGATTGCCTTTCCTGGTAGTCTGCCCATTACTTTGAGATGGTGATTAAATTCCTGTAACAAGGAATTTTTTTTTTCACCTCCTCCCTCCTTGCAGAGAAACATTTGGTCAGTTTGGGAGTCAAAATGGTTTCAGGACTGTCTTCCTGTGCTGCTCCAGACATGTGGTTTATATATTTATTTACATGTTTGCTTGGTACATTTATGAACATTTATTATATATATCTAAGACCTTAAAATTCTTATTACACTGCCAAGCTCTTCTTTCTAGGAGATACCTTTTTCACTCTTTCCTTTCTTCCCTGAGAGGTCACAGGGTTCTCTTGCGTTATAATATAGAAATAATGTGAAGGCAGAGCTACCTTTACTAAGAAAAGGGGGGGAAATGTTCAATTGTCCATTTTTTCCCATGGCACTTATACAGTAGTTTAAAATAAACCATAGATGCTTCGCGGGGGCTGGGGGAGGTTGAGGCTATCAGGATCCCATCTCCTGGTTTAGCAT